ATGGTGTTTTGAGAGGGAACAGCTCTATTCCGATGAATGTTGAAGTGGCGACGAAACTCACGCTGTACGACGATGTCTGACTCATTATTTCGGACGAAACAATCATAGGCGAAAACTCGGTGCTCCACCGTCCAAGGCTCCGTAACGACAACTGGTAAAATAATGCTAGGATCTCACGAGTCAAACGGCACCCTCCCCACCTCTGTCGTAGACGGAGGCGGAGAGTACTACCCATCCCAAAAACGTCCGTCCTCTCTGCCGCACCCTGTATATGTTGAAATTAAAGTTAACAGTTTTATGTAAATGAGAAATTACTAAACTATTTATTTAACATCAGGATCACTAATAAATAAAAAATAAATTAATAGCGAAGTATTTTTAGGAGTAAACAAATTCAATATCCCGAACACTAGAAAATAAGAAATAATAGAGGAAGATTTTTAGAAGCAAGCAATATGGAGGAATAACTTAAACAAATTTCTGATTGGAGATATAAAAGCAAAATGTACCTTGAGGGCAAGAAGAAAAAAGACTGTAACACGTCTTCGTTTGATAACTTGAAACAGAGGAGCGCCATTATCGTTTGAATGTCAAGAAGTATAAAAAGGGATATTTTCAATCGGAAAAATATTTTAAAATTTGTGTTCCCTTTTATTGATAAAAGCTCGATACGATTTTTTTTCTCTTAATTGCACTTGTCTTATACCAACAGGTGCCGAGACTTAAGGTTCCAGGTAATTGAGGTGAAGGAAAGCTCAGAGAAACTGTTCCACTGGGTTACTATGAGCTCAACACTGGAGTGACGTCAAGAGAAGAGACGTGTCACGTTTTGCGTGTGTGCCGCTGACAAATGTAACTTACTCGATTAAGTAGTACAAAGAGATCATCCTACCTGTTATTGAGCTCGAACACATTGGTAGGCCATGAATCGTGTAAGAAAGCTCAGAGGGGCAAATTCCGTTGCTCTATAGGTGGAAGCAATCGACGCCCGTCTATGTGAGCGAGATAAGGTGTTCTGAATAAGAGCACATCTCAACACCAACAAGCCGTAGCGAAATGCTTCCTGGCAGAGCTCGACGATGCATCAAAATCGGATGCGTATTTGGGTTTTGATGTTTCTAATCTAATATCATTTTATTCTTGTTATAGTTTACAGAAAGTTCCATCAGGATGTCCATATTTAAGCCATGAATAGAAAGAAAAACCAAAAATACACAGTTATCATATTCCATGTTTTCTAACTGCTAGGAATAAGATCAGCTTTGTAGCATTCGACAAAGTCGACAAAAGGCACCAAACCAGACAATATCCCTCACGACGGGGGGCAAATCGCAGAACGTTTGTTTTGCTTTGTATACTAGAGCCAGTGTCTAGACAGATAACAAAATATGTAAAACAAATCTTTTGAAATTGAATATTGGGATGCAGCAGTCTATTATTGTTATCCTGTGCTTATGTAATATTTTTTTATCAAAAGCCTTATCGCGAAGAAAGCAGTTAGACCAGGAATATATTTCTTCTAGAGGTAGAAAAATTTTGCAGTTAACTTTTTTATTAATCATTGTAGTTGGAAGTAATTCATGTTTCCCATATATTGAAAAAACTATGACGTAGTAATAAAGCTGCTTAAGAAAAAAATTGTACACAATGGAAATACCTTCTGAAAATCCTCAATTTTCAAATGTATTTTCACCAAAAAGTACCCCGCAAGAAATGCAGAATAATAGCGAAAATCTAAATCGTCTGTTATTAGTAATATCCAGAAAAATAGATATGCTCAACTTTGTCTGAAAAATTATTATTGCTAACAAATTTTTTGAGGTTAGTGGTGTAGCGACCAAGCGGCTGAGGCAAATTGGACATATGACTTTGAAGACTTTTTCATCCAGTGGAAGTTTTCTATTTACTCTTAGGAATATAAATATGTTGAGAATCCTTTTCAAACAATTACTTTTAGAAACTTGGTGCTTTTTAGATAGTGAGTCTAGTCTAAGTTGCAGAGTAGACCAGTACCTTAGGTGTATGGTCTTTTTAGAAGCGTGACTGCTATGATTTAGTTAAGAGGAATCTTGAGTTGTCCGATAGACAGTCTAAATACCCAGGGTGCAGCAAGGCGACCTAGTCTAGTCATTAAGTCCTTAATTTACAAAGTACGGTCAAGTTGTAAAGCGATGCATCTAAAATGAGGCAGTATCATGCGGTGGAGATTAGAGGTACAAATTCTATGCACTAAAAATGGGGTCAAGTTTTCCGTGTAGTGTGATGGTGTCAAAACGACATAGTTTTTATCAGAATCATTAGTGCACCGTTCGAACTTTTCATGAAAAAGAATTCTCAGATTGCAGCAATGAGTGCGTCCTCATTTCTCTGAAGCTCTGGTGTAGAACTGTTTTTTAACCATGACTGGTAACTGATTATGAGAGCTACTGATACGTACATGTATACTATATATACTATACCTTATCATATTACCTCAGGAAATCAAGTAACTTCATTAAATTATACTCCAAGTATAAGACTCGTATATACATATAGATATCGTACCCACCTCGTATGTGCATATCTCGTCACCACTGCTTATATGAGTCCCTGAGATCCAAATCCAATACCAAAGATGCAAAATTTGCAACCCCGGCACGGCAAATGTGACCGGTGTAGAAAATATATGCCAGTCAAACATGCACATACAATTAACCCATAGAAATATTCCCTGCTCTATCGACAGCGGGCCGACAATGTCGTAAGTTGCTTCACCCTTACATGCCGCAGCGCAGACGTAGCCAGAGACGTATTTCTCTTATTATTGTTTCAAGGGAAAATTTAAGGAGAAATCTATGAATTGTGAAATATGTCTAATTTGTAGAATCACCAGGGTTGGAAGTGTATTAACATATTAACATCAACACACTCTCCCAACTTCTTACCCCTAAATTTTTTTCCAAAAAAATCAGGATCCTCTGAAACGTTTTTGGAATTTTGGTGTTTCAAAAACTTCAAAGCTTCTGCGTTATTGGCACAGTGGTAACTTAGTGTAAAAATTGCATTCATATTCGAGCAGTACTTTCCAGGTTATAGAAAGGCCAATGATTCGAGGACAGAGCGACAGACAGATCGATGGAAATCAGTGACATGTATTTTCTTGTTGTACATGTCAAAAAATATAAAACGTGCTTACGACACTTCCCAACCAAAATGGGGGAAGTAATGGACATTTTAACTGGGTTATGTAGAGAATGAAAGGGTTGGTTGCCGAATAGTACTTCAAGGCTATAAACGGTTAATTCAGCTTCTTCTTAGCAGCTGCTGCAATTGCCGAGATGTGTTCATGCCAAATTATGGTCCCAGTGTGAAAGCCTTTACCGCTTTCCTTCTCTTCAACTCATTTGCATGTCAAGTGCTGCCATCTGCGAGATCGTAGTTTTGGCAACACCGAGCTCGCCTCAGTAAAAGCTTTTGAATTCTACACATCCATGAGTTCGCTCTTTACTTGGATTGTACACTTAACAGTCTCTCCTATTTTCTTGGCTCTTTAACATTCTACCCTCAACCGCTGCAGTTTGTCGAAATTTTAGATGCGGTATTACGAACCAGCTCGCCCAAGGTGTAATTTTGCCGCAAGATCGAGAGAAAATTGCAGTGTACTACGGAAATGATATACACCAAACGTAAAAATGTATAATATTTCGCGGCGCTTAATGTATGGGGCTGAATTTACATATATAAAGTTTCTGTTCCACGTTGCATTTTTGAGAGCACTTCAGGAAATGCTCGTGCAGCGATTTTGCTTTAAGAGATACCTCAATAGGTACACGTCAGTTTTGGGATAGGTTAGTGAGCACAAAGAACATATCAGTAAACCCACATCGCACGCGCTGGTCTATGGCTACCTACAACTACTGTTAAACAGGCGCAACTTTGTATTTGAAGAGCTCTGGAATTTGCCCTCAAAAGACATGAAACATCTCTCATTCGTATCTTGTCATTACGAAATTTCCTTCAACATCTTCGCCATTTTCTCTGCTATTATGGTCAGTTTTTAGAGAGTAAAATAGGCAAAAAGTAAAAGTAAAGTTTATTTACCAAAAATAACGATAATATGGTAAAATGAATATGAAAGCGTATACAGTTCAGAATAGTAAACAAACAGGAAACTCACATAAGCATGCTTATGCGTGGAGTCGTACAAATCACAGCAACCTTAATTTGCTATGGATAGTATAGATAATGACCTTTTTTAATTTCCAGTCTGTTAATAAAATTTTAGTAAAATAACACTCACTCAGGTATTCCACTATAAAATAGTTCAAACACTTAAAAACAATTGGACTAAAATCGGTTCACAATATTGGTCATAAAGTCGATAAGGCAATCTATAAACGGTAATTTGAAAATGTATGATAAAAACAAGCATATTGGTTCGCTAAAATCGTCCACAATCGGTTAATTTTTGATAAAAACTGATATTCTCATCTAATCCATATAATATTATTAAAGCTCATCAGAGCAATAGTTTTAGTACATTTATGATACCTATACAATTATCACAGATATTATGTTATGTATGTTTTGCATTTTAGTATTTGAGATTCATAACTTAAGTTCCTCCTTTAACAGAAGCTTTTAACCGATCTACCTATTATGCTCCGGAAGGCATTAAAGCTTTGGGACATTAGTACCTCTGACTCCTTAGGCCAACTGTTTTGTGAATTTTTTGTAGTTTTAATTGTACTATGGCACTACTTAATGCAATCACTGTTACCTTTATGAGAGTGCTGAAATGTGGGTAGCTGTTGGAAAAATAATTGACTGATATCAAATACTATAGATTATAACATCTGCTAGCAAAACAACCGCACGCGTTTATGTTTGCTCTTCGTATTTGGTCAAATAGCTCGAGTAAGACTAGAAGTAAAATTTTAAGTAAAAACTAAATCACTCGTTATAACATCACACACCCTGTTCTTGAATACGCAACCGATGCAACACCACGATCTGCAATTATGAGTGATCCAGTTTGCAGTTATTGTGACTCCTCTATTAGTGCTAGAACAAAAAGTATTAAATGTGAAGGTTTTTGTGGGAAATTTTTTCATGCCGCTTGCCAGGGCTTATCAACTGATGTAGTAAAAACCATTGAAAAGAGAAGCGGTTTGTCGTGGAAATGTAATCCGTGCCAATCGTATACCAGCGACGTGCACGAGATTCTAGATGCTAGACTATCCAGCTTGGTAAACGAAATTCATCAGCTATTTTCTAGTGTTCGTTCAGAAATTCTGGAGATCGCCGTGAAAAAAATTAGTACTGTTGAGTCACCTGAAATCAATGATAAGAAATCGTATTCGGCTATTACGAAAGGAAAATCGGCAATCATCATCAAACCTAAAGATGCAACGCAAAATACACAAGCTACTAAAGCCGACATGCTTCATCACGTGAATCCAGTCGCAGAAAATCTTCAGCTTTCCGGTGTCAAAAACGTAAAGAATGGGGGATCCTAATTGGTTGCAATGCCGATGACGACAATCTCAAGCTCAAGAAAATTGCTGCGGAGAAGCTTTCTGACAAGTACGAAATCAAGGAGATTGCTGGATTCAGTCCTAGAAGTACGGGTTGCGGGTATGACTGAAAAACAATCTGCGGAAAACTTTATTAATTCCATTAAGTCTCAAAATAAAGATGTGCTAAGTGAGAAATTATTTTTTTTTTTTTTTATTCAAAGAAATAACCGCATCAACCAAATACATAAGTAGTTGGTTAATGTCACATTTGTCCCCTATAATATCCGCTAGAGTTCCGTTAATATTATGTTGAAGTCTTTCACTTTCCAGTAGTGGGCACTCCACTAAGATATGTTTAACGGTGAGTGTTTCTTCACAAATGTCACAGGTTGGTGGTTGTTCTCCATTGAAAAGGTGCCGATGAGTGAGCTGGGTGTGTCCGAGTCGTAGTCTGGTTATAACTATTTGATGTCTTCGATTCTGGGTAATACAGCGCCATGGCCCCATAGATGATTTGAGCTCTAAGAGCTTAGAATTTTTATTTGTGAGAAATTTGAATGTAAAGTTATAGACATTAAGCCAATCAAGAAAAGAGCTGACATTTTCCAAGCCATCCTTCAATTAGACTACGGTACTTATAATAAAATTATGTCTGTCAACAAGGGTAAGTTATTCGTGGGGTATGATGTTTGTGGCGTGTATGATGAAATTTCTATCAAGCGATGTTTCAATTGCAGTGGTTTCTCCCATCTTTCTGTTCAACGTAAGAGCCAAACTCACTGTCCTCGGTCAAGTCAAGTCATCGTTGGTTGTCAGAGCGGTCCGTGGGACCTTAGCTCTTGAGTCACAGTGTCAGTTTGTAAGTCTGTCAGGTCTGTTAACCCAGAAACCAGACAATTTTAAGGAAACTGTCCTCGGTGTGGCGATAGCCACTTACTGAAAAACTGCAAGGCCACTTAAAATGTATTAACTGTGTTAGAAATAATATAGACAGAAATACCAACTATGACATGTCACATGCGGCTTGGGATTCTAGGTGCCCATGTTACTTACAAAAAGTTGAGGAGCTTAAAGCTAGGTTATTTTTTTCTTAGTTCGGATTTTCCCGGTGAAATCCCTTATGAACAGTTAAATACTCAAAATTTTGTAAGAATTTCTACTTCTACCTTTTCTGATCGTCGCATCTCTGTTTACTACCAGAACGTACGCGGTATCAACTCTAAGTATAAAGAATTCTTTGTAAATGTCGCTGTGTCTGACTATGATATCATCTGTTGTACTGAAACTTGGCTGCAGTCTGCAGTACTTAGTTCTGAATTATTTACTGACAAATATGTTGTATTTAGAGCGGACAGAAATTTCTCTGCGATGGAGTGTTCTAGAGGAGGTGCTGTCTTAATTGGTATTCGTAATCAACTTGCTGCATCACTGGTAAATATGACTTTTATCAGAGACGATATTCCCAGTATTGACATAATTGGAATCAAACTTAGATATAAAAATGAAGTGACTTATTTCTTTGTGATATACATACCGCCTGACACGAGTACTTCCTGCTATGAAAGATTCTTTGAACATCTTTGGCAAATGTATTTATATACTAGGTGACTTTAATGTTCCCGAATTTGTTAATGAAAATCACCTCCAATCTTCTCACAAGCAGAAAACAATTCAGTCATTTATGGGTTTTCTCGATCTTTCTCAATTCAATGATGTTCGGAATGAAAATAATAGGCTATTAGATTTAGTGTTATCAAATAAACAATGTAGCGTCGTTAAGGCTTATGATGACCTACTACCTGAGGATGTTCACCATCCTCCGCTTGTCATGATAATCAACATGAGCTTCCGTTCTAAAAAGAGTATCAAATGCGCCAGAGAATCATATAATTTCAGAAAAGCCAATTTTGTAACACTAAATGAACAAATAAGCTTGGTTAATTGGACGTTTCTTGACAATTTAACAGATGTAAACGTAGCTTTGGAAACATTTTATAACATTCTTCGTAAAATTTTTAATATGTGTGTCCCTAGGACAAGTCTCAGATCTCTCAAATTTCCAGTTTGGTTTAACGGTGAAATTATTAGAGACATCAAAAGAAAAAATTTGCTACACAAAAAGTTTAAAAAGGATAAAAGTTTGATCACATACACTGAGTTCAAAGACTTAAGGACCAAAATTAAGCGCGATGAGCGTAACGCATATCAAAAATATCTAGTAGATATCCAAAGTAGTCTATCTGAAGATCCGAACAATTTCTGGTCATTTATCTGTAATAAAAGGGGAAAAAATTCCACAATCAGCCAAGTAAACTATAATGTAAGCAGTATGACAAACCCAATGAAATTGCTAATGCTTTTGCGCTATTTTTTCAATCTGTATATACTATGCCCTCGAAAGCAACTGATATCAATATTTCGGACTTGCATACTAACATAATACTTCAGAGCTTTTCCGAAGAAGAAGTTTTTACAGTGTTAAAGCAAATGAAAAATAAATTTACTTCCGGACCCGATGGAATCCCATCATTTTTAGTGCGTGACTGTGCCTACGTCTTAGCTCATCCCTTGACAAAGATCTTCAACCTATGTTTAAAGACTGACACGTTTCCTGAAGTTTGGGGCGAATCAAAGGTGCGTCCCATTTTCAAGAAGGGTGATAGACTGCAGGTTGAAAATTATAGACCGATAACCCTAGTATGTATCTTTTCCAAGGCCTTAGAAACTTTACTTCATAATTTCCTATACCACAATACACATTCCCAAATAAGTACTTCTCAGCATGGCTTTATGAAGGGTAGATCAACCATAATTAACATAGCCTGTTTTACTCAGTCAGTCTCCTCTGCATTAGATGCTAATAGCCAGGTGGATGTAATTTATACAGATTTTAGTAAAGCTTTTGACAAACTTGATCACAGTATTCTGTTAACGAAGCTGAGCTATTTTGGATTCTCCCACAAGCTGTTATCCTTTTTTAAGTCATATCTATCAGGAAGAAAGCAATATGTTGAATATCAGGGTGTCAAATCTATTGAATTCTTCCCAACCTCAGGGATACCTCAAGGCTCCTGCTTAGGTCCTTTGCTTTTCATACTGTTCATAAACGATATTGTTAGCGACATCGACAGCAGCCACTTAATCTATGCTGATGATCTGAAAATTTTTTCCAATGTCGACTGCAGCACTGACTGTGCTCACTTACAAAAAGACCTAGCCAAAATAGTTAAATGGTGTGCTGTAAATCGACTTCCAATTAACTACAGTAAATGTAGTGTTATGTCTTACACCAGAAAGCTAGATATTATTGCATTTGACTACAGAATTGGCAATCATTCTCTGCTGAGAGTACAAGAATGCAAGGATCTGGGTGTTATTTTTGACATCTCACTTAGCTTCAGTCCTCATACTGAGTACCTTATTAGGATTTGTAATACGTAACTCAAAGGAATTAAGTAACAAGGATGCCGTGATTATGCTTTATAATTCATTCATACTGTCTAAATTAGAATATGGACGGCTAATATGGAATCCATGCTATGTTACTTGTGGCTCTCTGGAGAAGATTCAGCGGAAATTTCTGAAATTTTTTTCATTCAAAATTGACGGTACGTACCCACCCGTTGGGGTCCCACAGGAAGACCTATTACGTAAGCCCAAGTTTATCAGTCTTGATAACAGAAGAAAGATTCACTCGCTAATATTCCTGCATAGAGTAGTGCATAGCAGTTATGATTGTCCATCATTTCTAGCACAGATTACATTTAATGCTCCAGAATTTGTTACTCGCAATACACTCACTTTTTACCTACCTACCCCACGAACTAACTTACTGTTGCACTCACCTCTGTACTCGATGTGTTCATGTTATAATAGTCTACAGAGTACATTTGATTTGTTCAACACAAGTATTTCGAATATTAAGAGAGTTTGCAGTGAAATGATTTAGTTTTTAGTTTTCGTTGTATTTTTATATGTTTTTTTTACTATTTCTATTGTTGTTTTGCCACCAGTAATTGGTTAACAGTGTTGGTGGTGGATTTCAATAAATAAATAAATAAATACTCGCACTCCGTTGTAAAACTTATCAGATGGATACCCAAGTGGTTTCCCAAGCATTATTTTAGGTATACACTTCTGCATTACGTTCAATTCATTGAGGTATGTACTTGCTAGGCCACCCTATGCAAGAATGCCGTAAGAGAGATGAGATTGAACCAAAGCAAAATACAAAGATTCTAGAATGCTTGAGCTGAACATAGAACAGTGTAATTTGAATTTTGGAACTGAACTCCGTATTCTTTTAACCACCTGGCTGAGATGTTCTGTCCATTTAAGATGGCTGACTAGTACAACACCTAAATAATTCACGCTACTTTGAGATTCTATCGCAAAATTATTGATATGAAACCTTTGATACTGTGGCGCGTGGGATTCATAAGAAGTAAATGGTAAAAGATATTTCTAGGTTGTGCCACGAATTAACATATGTTTAAACAGGGTGGCGCAGAGGAAACGCATGTTTTCTGAGTGAATGGTATTTCGCAAAGAGAAGTGGATTGACTTTGCCTCACCGCCAGCAGAGAACACAGGCAATGCAATTTTAGCCATGGCACCGTGGACAACTGAGCATCGTGTGTTTGCCGTCGAGCAATTTTTCCGAAACAATGACTCTGTAGTTACCGTGCAACGTTTATTCTGTGGCCAGTTCAATGTTGAACACCAAAGGTCAATTCCAGATCGAAATACGATACTCCGATGGGTTGAGGAATTTCGAACTGCTGGATCTGTAATCAAGACGGAGCCACCTGGCCTTCCCCGTATCCAACACCAGGCAATATCGAAATAGCGAGAAGAGCGGTCCTTGGTAGTCCTCAACGGTCCACTAGGCGACAAGCTCCAGCTCTGCGTACTCGTATGTCCCGCCGATCGTTACAACGTATTCTGCACGATTAGCAATTTTTGCTGATGATCCTAACGTCGTCATAATGATGAGTGAC